CTACATGTGCTCCATAGAGAGCATCCTTACCTTCTACAGGTGCACCATAGAGAGCATCCTGACCTTCTACAGGTGCACCATAGAGAGCATCCTGACCTTCTACAGGTGCACCATAGAGAGGATCCTGACCTTCTACAGGTGCTCCATAGAGAGGATCCTGACCTTCTACAGGTGCACCATAGAGAGGATCCTGACCTTCTACAGGTGCACCATAGAGAGGATCCTGACCTTCTACAGGTGCACCATAGAGAGGATCCTGACCTTCTACAGGTGCACCATAGAGAGGATCCTGACCTTCTACAGGTGCACCATAGAGAGGATCCTGACCTTCTACAGGTGCACCATAGAGAGCATCCTGACCTTCTACAGGTGCACCATAGAGAGGATCCTGACCTTCTACAGGTGCACCATAGAGAGGATCCTGACCTTCTACAGGTGCACCATAGAGAGCATCCTGACCTTCTACAGGTGCACCATAGAGAGCATCCTGACCTTATACAGGTGCACCATAGAGTGCATCCTGACCCTTCTACAGGTGCACCATAGAGAGGATCCTGACTTTCTACAGGTGCACCATAGAGAGGATCCTGACCTTCTACAGGTGCACCATAGAGAGCATCCTGACCTTCTACAGGTGCTCCATAGAGAGGATCCTGACCTTCTACAGGTGCACCATAGAGAGCATCCTGACCTTCTACAGGTGCACCATAGAGAGGATCCTGACCTTCTACAGGTGCACCATAGAGAGGATCCTGACCTTCTACAGGTGCTCCATAGAGAGCATCCTGACCTTCTACAGGTGCACCATAGAGAGGATCCTGACCTTCTACAGGTGCACCATAGAGAGCATCCTGACCTTCTACAGGTGCTCCATAGAGAGGATCCTGACCTTCTACAGGTGCTCCATAGAGAGGATCCTGACCTTCTACAGGTGCACCATAGAGAGGATCCTGACCTTCTACAGGTGCACCATAGAGAGGATCCTGACCTTCTACAGGTGCACCATAGAGAGCATCCTGACCTTCTACAGGTGCACCATAGAGAGCATCCTGACCTTCTACAGGTGCACCATAGAGAGGATCCTGACCTTCTACAGGTGCACCATAGAGAGGATCCTGACCTTCTACAGGTGCTCCATAGAGAGGATCCTGACCTTCTACAGGTGCACCATAGAGAGGATCCTGACCTTCTACAGGTGCACCATAGAGAGCATCCTGACCTTCTACAGGTGCTCCATAGAGAGGATCCTGACCTTCTACAGGTGCTCCATAGAGAGGATCCTGACCTTCTACAGGTGCACCATAGAGAGGATCCTGACCTTCTACAGGTGCACCATAGAGAGGATCCTGACCTTCTACAGGTGCACCATAGAGAGCATCCTGACCTTCTACAGGTGCACCATAGAGAGGATCCTGACCTTCTACAGGTGCACCATAGAGAGGATCCTGACCTTCTACAGGTGCACCATAGAGAGCATCCTGACCTTCTACAGGTGCTCCATAGAGAGGATCCTGACCTTCTACAGGTGCACCATAGAGTGCATCCTGACCTTCTACAGGTGCACCATAGAGAGGATCCTGACTTTCTACAGGTGCACCATAGAGAGGATCCTGACCTTCTACAGGTGCACCATAGAGAGCATCCTGACCTTCTACAGGTGCTCCATAGAGAGGATCCTGACCTTCTACAGGTGCACCATAGAGAGCATCCTGACCTTCTACAGGTGCACCATAGAGAGGATCCTGACCTTCTACAGGTGCACCATAGAGAGGATCCTGACCTTCTACAGGTGCTCCATAGAGAGCATCCTGACCTTCTACAGGTGCACCATAGAGAGGATCCTGACCTTCTACAGGTGCACCATAGAGAGCATCCTGACCTTCTACAGGTGCTCCATAGAGAGGATTCCTGACCTTCTACAGGTGCTCCATAGAGAGGATCCTGACCTTCTACAGGTGCACCATAGAGAGGATCCTGACCTTCTACAGGTGCACCATAGAGAGGATCCTGACCTTCTACAGGTGCTCCATAGAGAGGATCCTGACCTTCTACAGGTGCACCATAGAGAGGATCCTGACCTTCTACAGGTGCACCATAGAGAGGATCCTGACCTTCTACAGGTGCACCATAGAGAGCATCCTGACCTTCTACAGGTGCACCATAGAGAGCATCCTGACCTTCTACAGGTGCACCATAGAGAGGATCCTGACCTTCTACAGGTGCACCATAGAGAGGATCCTGACCTTCTACAGGTGCTCCATAGAGAGCATCCTTACCTTCTACAGGTGCACCATAGAGAGGATCCTGACCTTCTACATGTGCTCCATAGAGAGCATCCTGACCTTCTACAGGTGCACCATAGAGAGGATCCTGACCTTCTACAGGTGCTCCATAGAGAGCATCCTGACCTTCTACAGGTGCACCATAGAGAGCATCCTGACCTTCTACAGGTGCACCATAGAGAGGATCCTGACCTTCTAAAGGTGCACCATAGAGAGGATCCTGACCTTCTACAGGTGCACCATAGAGAGGATCCTGACCTTCTACAGGTGCACCATAGAGAGCATCCTGACCTTCTACAGGTGCACCATAGAGAGGATCCTGACCTTCTACAGGTGCACCATAGAGAGGATCCTGACCTTCTACAGGTGCACCATAGAGAGCATCCTGACCTTCTACAGGTGCACCATAGAGAGCATCCTGACCTTCTACAGGTGCACCATAGAGTGCATCCTGACCTTCTACAGGTGCACCATAGAGAGGATCCTGACCTTCTACAGGTGCACCATAGAGAGGATCCTGACCTTCTACAGGTGCACCATAGAGAGCATCCTGACCTTCTACAGGTGCTCCATAGAGAGGATCCTGACCTTCTACAGGTGCACCATAGAGAGCATCCTGACCTTCTACAGGTGCACCATAGAGAGGATCCTGACCTTCTACAGGTGCTCCATAGAGAGCATCCTGACCTTCTACAGGTGCACCATAGAGAGGATCCTGACCTTCTACAGGTGCACCATAGAGAGCATCCTGACCTTCTACAGGTGCACCATAGAGAGGATCCTGACCTTCTACAGGTGCACCATAGAGAGCATCCTGACCTTCTACAGGTGCTCCATAGAGAGGATCCTGACCTTCTACAGGTGCTCCATAGAGAGCATCCTGACCTTCTACAGGTGCACCATAGAGAGGATCCTGACCTTCTACAGGTGCACCATAGAGAGGATCCTGACCTTCTACAGGTGCTCCATAGAGAGGATCCTGACCTTCTACAGGTGCACCATAGAGAGCATCCTGACCTTCTACAGGTGCACCATAGAGAGGATCCTGACCTTCTACAGGTGCACCATAGAGAGCATCCTGACCTTCTACAGGTGCACCATAGAGAGCATCCTGACCTTCTACAGGTGCACCATAGAGAGGATCCTGACCTTCTACAGGTGCACCATAGAGAGGATCCTGACCTTCTACAGGTGCTCCATAGAGAGGATCCTGACCTTCTACAGGTGCACCATAGAGAGGATCCTGACCTTCTACAGGTGCACCATAGAGAGCATCCTGACCTTCTACAGGTGCTCCATAGAGAGGATCCTGACCTTCTACAGGTGCACCATAGAGAGCATCCTGACCTTCTACAGGTGCTCCATAGAGAGCATCCTGACTTTCTACAGGTGCTCCATAGAGAGGATCCTGACCTTCTACAGGTGCACCATAGAGAGGATCCTGACCTTCTACAGGTGCACCATAGAGAGGATCCTGACCTTCTACAGGTGCACCATAGAGAGGATCCTGACCTTCTACAGGTGTACCATAGAGAGGATCCTGACCTTCTACAGGTGCTCCATAGAGAGGATCCTGACCTTCTACAGGTGCACCATAGAGAGGATCCTGACCTTCTACAGGTGCTCCATAGAGAGGATCCTGACCTTCTACAGGTGCACCATAGAGAGGATCCTGACCTTCTACAGGTGCACCATAGAGAGCATCCTGACCTTCTACAGGTGCTCCATAGAGAGGATCCTGACCTTCTACAGGTGCTCCATAGAGAGGATCCTGACCTTCTACAGGTGCACCATAGAGAGCATCCTGACCTTCTACAGGTGCTCCATAGAGAGCATCCTGACTTTCTACAGGTGCTCCATAGAGAGCATCCTGACCTTCTACAGGTGCACCATAGAGAGCATCCTGACCTTCTACAGGTGCTCCATAGAGAGGATCCTGACCTTCTACAGGTGCTCCATAGAGAGGATCCTGACCTTCTACAGGTGCTCCATAGAGAGGATCCTCACCTTCTACAGGTGCTCCATAGAGAGCATCCTGACCTTCTACAGGTGCTCCATAGAGAGGATCCTCACCTTCTACAGGTGCACCATAGAGAGGATCCTGACTGGCTGAAACCATCAGACTCAGGGACAGTTTCATCCTACAGGCCATAAGACTGTTAAACACCTGAACTTTTGAAACAACATCCATAACAGTCATCTGACTGCAACTTAGAAATTATTGATCTAATTTATCATATTCCAATCACTTGTATATAGACTCCTATTGCACTATTTTTCTTTTTGTATTTACTTGTACTGTTGGAGGAGCCTGTGACCAAAGATTTTCATCGACATAACTACACTGTAGCTATGTACGTATGACAAATAAAAGCCTTGAGCCTTGAGATATACAAGAACAGAATGTAAAATTAAATATTGTACAGTAAAATGAAATACTGTTTATTGTAGACATAAGATATTGTCGGTGTATGAAGAGATGAATTATGTTATGTAAAAGTTAAGAAATAAAGGTTCAGAATGGGAAACAAACCAAAAGGAAAGAGAAGACATGAATGGTTGACTTCTATTCTAATAAATATCAAACTTTAAAATGACTTGTATCTTGGCAGACACACTCGTAAAAAAAATACAAACAAAAATAGTTTTGCAGCTGTGGTTGTTGATGGGACTTGTTTTAAATCACTAAAGTATGAGGCCTATCTGTAGAATACGAACCTTCTAGCAAACGCTGAGCTGAGCTGCTCTCCATCCGGGCCGCGCTCGATGACGCTCACAAAGATCTGGTCCCGCTCGATCACATGACTGTTCTCCAGACTCACAGGGAACTTTCTACACCAACAAAACACTTTGGGATCAACACCAGTGTACTATATACCTATATATTAAAACTAGGGCTGTCAAGTTAACGCGTTAAAAAAAAATTAACGCCACTAATTATTTTAACGCGATTAACGCATGTGTATTTATTTTCGAGTTTAAAATACCATCTACAAGCTGATGCTGACAGCCCCGCTCCTGCCGCCCGCTTGTGGCAGACCACACTTCCACGCTCACCGGCAGGCACCGACTGGCTGTTGGGAGGACCGGGAGGGTGTGTGTATGTGTGGCCCGAGCGAGCGAGAGAGAGACCTTACGTGCATTGTTGTTGTTAGCATCTGGTGCTAGCTAGCTGCGCTAACGGATATAAGGAGCTGTTTAAATGAAAACAGAGGAGCGACATTTCGCCACAACTGCGCCGAGCACTTGACTTTATGCAGGAAGCCAGACAGTGGGACATTGTACGAGAAGTCAGCACACTCAGCACGGGTAGTGCGCAACATGATTGCAGCGTCCAGGCAGCTCCGGTTCGAGCATATGCCTTGAGTTGCACATAGCTCCAACAATCCATCACACACACACACACACACACACACACACACACACACACACACAACACACACACACACACACACACACACACACACACACACACACACACACACACACACACACACACACACACACACACACACACACACACACACACACACACACACACACACACACACACACACACCACACACACACACACACACACACACACACACACACACACACACACACACACACACACACACACACACACACACACACACACACACACACACACACACACACACACACACACACACACACACACACACACTTTGTATTGTATTATTGTATGAGAGAGGTTCCAGGTTGAATTGAGGCGAATATTTGTAATGTTCAGAAGTTGTTGTGTTTAGTATTCATGAGAATATTTGTCATTGTTCAAATGATAATAAACATTTGCATAAAGCATATTTGTCCACTCATATGTTGATAAGAGTATTAAAAACTTGAAAAATATTCCTCTAAGGTACATTTAGAACAGATCAAAAATGTGCGATTAATTTGCGATTAATCGTGATTAACTATTTTAATCGACTGACAGCCCTAATTAAAACATTTCCCAATTTGAGATTAACAAAGTATATCTTATCTTTTACCTGATGATAACAACAACATGAACATATCCAGGGTTTGATTTAAAGTGCTTGAGAGAAACTTTCCTGATTACTTTTATGTAAGGCGTTTACATTTATAATAAAAAATAAAAAATAATTGGCCAAAAAACCTTGTTAACGCGATCTCTGAAGTCAGTGGTAAGGCCCATCATGCACTACTGTTCGTAAAATGCAGAGGTGGGAAGTACTTAAGTACATTTACTCAAGAACTGTACTTAAAGGTCCCATGTCATGGCCATTTCTACTGATCATAATTCCATTGTTGAGGTCTACTAGAATAGATTTACATTGTTCAATGTTCCAAACTCACATTGGTTTCTCATACAGCATCTCTGTATAGTATGTGCATTCACTCTCTGTCCTAAACGGCTTGTTGGAGCTCCTGCCCCCCCCCCCCCCCCCCTCGGAAAAGAATGACATGGGACCTTTAAGTAAAATGTTGAGGTACTTGTACTTAAATTGAGTATTTCCATCTAGTGCTACAAAAGATTCAAATTATTTAAATATTGAACAAAAAGTCAATCAGAACTGTGTTTGTCTACAACAGTAAAATGCTACTTGATGCAACAATATTATCTAGAAATGTCACATATATAAATGTAATATATAAAACAAACTAAAAGACACATTTTCCTGCCCAATGATTACTTCACATTTTTATACACCAAGTATATTTTGCTGATAATACTTTTAAGTAAAATGTTGAATGCAGGACTTTCATGTTTTGGTACTTTTACTCAAGTGAAGCATCTGAATACTTCCATCACCTCTGCTTTGAGGAGCAACGGGTACTTACATCCTCATCTCAGAGGTGAAGGAGGAGAGAGGGGAGAGGGTCCCGCTGGTCAGAATGATGCAGCGGACCCCTTGATCCACCAGGCTCTGCATGCTGTAGCCCGGAGAGAAGCACCAGTAACTCAAGATGTTGCCTACAGGGCGCAGAGACACATTTATTTAAGATTTACAAAGAATATAGGCAGATAGGCGAGCAAAGGTAACGACAAACTAAACCATTTCACAGCAAATTTGCTCAGGGTGTTTTATTACCTTGATTCTTTGAAATTTGGAATTCATAATTCAATTATTTTAGCTAAATATTTCCCCACATTTAATGATATTAAATCATATTGTTGTATAATATGAAATTATACAACATTTTTATAAAATTGTGCAAACGTAAAAAAGCCTAACCATTTACATTTCTAAACAACTTAATTCCTGAGTCACCACCCTCCGTTTTGAGCTAATGTACTGAATACTGATGTTTATGTGACTTTGTATGATGTATTGCAATAATTATTGAATAAAGTTGAACAAATAAAAATAAAACCTTGTTTCTTTGATGATGATGATGATGATGATGAAGCCCAGACATCCATGCTCTGGTTTTTCTTCTGATGGCTGGTGTCTTGATGGATATGAACCTGAGCCAAACACACAGATATGAGGGCTGACATCACTGTGTACATATCTAACACGTGCGAGGACATGCAAATCTTTGAATGAACGCGCACCTTAAAATGAGCCGTGTTGGTCTCCATCTGCTGCTGTTTCTCCTTTTCTGATGGTTCCCCACAGAACACCAGCTACAAGAGACAAAATGATTGTAGCTATAGCAAAGTAATCGTGTGTTCCATCGTTTTGGTATAATGTGCAGTTTACAGCAGCTCATTTTGTGAAGTATGCTCATTTGTGCAGGTGTTCACAGAGTCAATGAGAACAGGTTTTATATTCAGTCACGATGATACAAAACCTGACAATCTCATTATGGTGACAACAGTACAGGAAGCTCAAATTGGACTGACTAACACAAAAAATAAACCACTAACTGTTACATGTTTCTTTGTGTACAGATCAGACAAAAACATGCTTGTCAGTGACAGTGGCGAGCCGTGACTTTTATACCTAGGCCCTCTGACCCCCACCCCTTCCCTCAAAAAAATTAAAATAAAAGAGTTATTACGTCACAGCGTATACTTCAGCGGAATATCAAAACAACGGCCCGGGGTGCAAAACGCACCAATGAAAGCAACCCTCTACCACACAAAACAACACCTGTAAATAACCCTATTTGTGTTCTTTGAAATTGAAAAGGATATTGCATTATGTTTATTACTTTTGTTGCAGTTGTATGTCTTAAGTGTAATTTGGCATGCTTTTATTTTGAAGATGAGTTCATGCTGTTGACAGGAAGTTGTTGTTGCTATGGAAACAAGAAAAGTTTCACAGCGGGCAGAACTTGTCATAAAGTCCGCGATAATAAAGCCCACCCATTTAGAGGGAAGATATGATTGGTCAATTGTACTGTCATTTGACATTACTCTCTCGTTCAGTTACTATAGCGCAGTGGCGAGCAGGGCTCTCTAGGCCCTCTCTGATGGCCTAAGATATTCTACAAAATAATATTTTAAAATGTATTTTAATATATATTTTTTAAATATTTTTTTTGTTATATTCTTCATTAGTTTTACCAAAAGAACTGGATTTAATTGTATTTAAAATAACATTTCCAAAGAAATAAATCCTTCGAATCTGCCTATTCAATTTCTGTTTGAATGTGAAGGGTTAAATGAAAGAAGCTGCTTTAGCCGTCTCCGCGAGTTATGTGAAGATAGGAGAGCTTGGTGGTCCTGCTGTAAATTCACAGAGGGCCAGCTATAGTAACTCAACGAGAGAGTAATTAGTGCGAATGCTGTTTACAGCTGTTTTTCTCTCTCTCTCTCTCTCTCTCTCTCTCTCTCTCTCTCTCTCTCTGACACACACCGATGATGATGATGAATGTTCAAGAGAAGAGAGAGAGGGCGATCAAGAGAAGAGAGAGAGGGCGATCAAGAGAAGAGAGAGGGCGATCAAGAGAAGAGAGAGGGCGTTCAAGAGAAGAGAGAGAGGCCGAGCAAGAGAAGAGAGAGAGAAGAGAGAGAGGGTGAGCAAGAGAAGAGAGAGAGTAATGTAACCTCCTAATGTAATGTATAACTCCTATGAAAATGTGCTAACAGTCCAGCCTTGAAGACATCTACGGGACAGTTTTGAGATTTCTTCAAATGTCGTTGCCATGGCAACACAATGCTCACCATGAAACACGGTTTTCTCATAACTTCAGTGAAAATGCTCGAAATGGCCCAAAACTTCACAGGTTTGGTAACGATGCAGCCATCAACACATCTAAGCGTATTATGGGATGTCATCGAATGCCGTTGCCATGGCGACAGATCATTCACCATCAAGTTAGTTCAAAAGTTTCCCAAGCCTTTTTACTTTCTTTTCTCATCTTAATACAAATTCATTCACTACTACTTACATCTGATATTTAACTCCTTCAGCCTATTTTCAGCTGCAGAAACCATTCAACTATTACATTATTCAGCTATTTCAGGACATCAAGGCTATACATGTTGTTGTTTATACCTTTTTTTAAACCTTTTCTTTGAAATATTAAGCTTTTTCTGCATTTTTTAGCTAAAAGCAGCTACCATTCAGCTAATAACACATTCAGCTTTTTCTGCATTTTCAGCTAAATTCAGCCATAAATGTTCACAGTTTACAGCATTCGCACGCATTTTCTGCAGGAAATGCATTTTCTAGTGTCAAATTACAGTACAATTGAGGCCTTAAACATTAGCCTAGCATCTCAGGAACATCTCGCTCTCAGGAATACAGAGTGTGAAAAGTTTATTCTAGAAACTTTTACTATAACTTCACCATGTAGCACACCTGTATGATATTAGTCAGCTGCTGCAGTCCACTTGTGTTCACAAACACCCCCGGCTCTGAGGATAAAACATAACTCTTTGTTAGTGATACAAATGAATACACACATTATTTTGCATTGTAACAGAAACGGGGTGTGTGTGATATATACAGCTGAAGGTCTATAATTCTTACTTCTGTGTGAATGGAAATGAAACATCTACAAAATGTCCATCACATGGTGGACAGCAGAAAACGAAAGGTAAATCAAGTGACATGTGTTCAACAATAGAAAGTGATGAAGCCGTACTGACGTCCTGCGAGGTATCCAGTGATCTGCTCCAGAGCCTCCTGCACAGCCGTCTTGGAGCTGTAGGTCAGGTGGGCTCTCTCCAGCAGCTCATAGATGAAGCTGGACAGAGGACACTTCATTACAATCCAGAAACTGAGATAACTGAAGACATTTTACATGTTATCAGAGGTGGGAGAAGTACTCAGATCTTGTACTTAGGTAAAAGTAAAAGTCCTGCATTCAAAATATTACTCAAGTAAAAGTAGAAAAGTATTCTCATCAAAATATAGTGAAAGTAGCAACAGTAAAAGTAGTCGTTGTGCAGATTGGTCCATTTCAGAATAATATATATGATATGTTTTATAATGATTGATCATGAAAGTGTTCTCAAAGCTGGGCTCAGAACAGTCTCATAATACACACATGCGCACAGAAGGATTCACACTTGTATTTCATGATCTGCAAAAGGATTCACACTTGTATTTCCGGATCCACACTTGTGTTTTTCAATGCACACACAAATGTATTCCGTTTCATATACATGTAAATAAAATCCAAATACAGAAAAAAGTTGTACATATGTATTTTTGATCCTCACATATTTGTTTTCCGTTGAAATCCCCTGAACCTGCAAACACAAACAGCTTTCTGTGCACGGATCGCTGTGCATTCGTGTGTGGGTTTTTTGAGACTCCCCTGACGGTCAGCCGATTCGTACTTGTAATTATTTCTATCTATAGCCAATCAGATGTCTCCTCAATTCTAAGCCAATCACATGAGCGCGCCCCCACGAGGGTAGATTTCTTGCGTTCATGACGTAGCACTTCATGTACGCATTTTACGCAGTCCGGAGCTGACAGCTCCATGGAGCCTGCCTGCAGGCGCTAATCTCAGGACACCCTCCACTCTCAGTACAGCGCCACTTTCCGAACAGGAAATGCACGCAAATACAAGCCTTTATATTATTAAGGTACAGCGCCACTTTCCAAACCATTGATGAATGCTTGTGTACACAAAAACGGAAGGGAAACCCGTTTTAAATGTGTGTTTCCTGTATGGCGAATACAGCTGCATTATTGATGTCTGTATGAAGTTGTTGTGAGTGTGGAGGGAGCAGCTACAGGTTAGCTTAGCCTAATCGATCAGTGCATTACGAAGCCAGTGCTAGACAGTGACCTGTTAACGGGGGGGAGCCCCGCCGGTCATTATCGGCCGATATTCACTCTTAATAGTTTGATCGGTGCTCTCTATAAAGGCCGATCAGGAGAGCTGGATCTGATCGATATGGACATAAACGCGAGTGAAGTATAACCGGACGCGAGAGAGAGATCAGATCAGCTGCTGAGTCTGACGGAGACACGCAGCTCTGCATGATCACCTGATGCTCCGTCCTCTGTTTAGCGAGCTGACCGGACTGCGCAAAATGCGTATATGAAGTAATCTTACCCTCGTGGGGGCGCCCTCATGTGATTGGCTTAGAATGAAGGAGACATCTGATTGGCTATAGATAGAAAAAATTACAAGTACGAATCGGCTGACCGTCAGGGGAGTCTCAAAAAACCCACACACGAATGCAAAGCGATCCGTGCACAGAAAGCTGTTTGTGTTTGCAGGTTCAGGGGATTTAAACGGGAAACTAATAAGTGAGGATCAAAAATACATATATAAAACTTTTTTCTGTATTTGGATTTTATTTACATGTATATGAAACGGAATACATTTGTGTGTGCATTGAAAAACACAAGTGTGAATACGGAAATACAAGTTTGAATCCTTCTGTGTGCATGTGTGTATTATGAGACTGTTCTGAGCCCATACAGGGTAGCTTGTGGAACTAAAGGTGGAACTAAAGTCTGATTTAAAGGTCACCTATAATGCAATAGCATAGGTCTCAGATATATACAAAAATATAAAAAAACATGTCTATGAAGTGTTTTGGTCAAAAAACCAAACAGATCACCCATTCTAGCCATGCCTCATATCCCTCTATTTCTCTTCCTGTTCCAAAAGTGCTGATTCTGGGTATACACAGGTCTCTCTTGAGAATGAGACCCTGTGTCTCAATGAGATTTTCACCTGTATAAATAAAGGCTAAATACAAAAAGTTTAGCTGAAAAAAAAATAAAAATAAGAGGGGGCGGAGCCTTAGCGGCTCATGCGGAACCTGGCAGATACGGTCTAAAATGCTGCGGTGATGAAACGCAAGGATTATTAGATCAAGGATTATTAGATCAAGGATTATTAGATCAAGGATTATTAGATCAAGGATTATTAGATCAAGGATGGATGGATGGAGCTGAAGTAATAATAAAGGCTTTCTCTCTTGCCGGTTATACCACAAGGTGAGATCCTGCTTCTTCACACACATGCTCTGTGCAGTACAGGTTAGCTCTGAGTGTTAGCGATGCTAATGTAAACACCGACCATATTACGTCCAAAACAGTCGGGCATTGTTTCTGATAGCAACGTTTCTGATTGGCCCGTGGGTCCACATTTCCGATATTGCGTCATATCGGACACAAATCTGGATCAGCTCTGTTGTTCCCCCGTTTTTAGAGATTTGGGTACGGAGGAAAAGAGAGAGGGTTTTATTTTCTGACACTGCGTGAGTTCCCTGACACACCGGGGACACATATTCATGTATAAAAGACATCACAAAGTGCATTTTGCAAGATAGGTCCCCTTTAAGACTTGATAATATTTCACATCATTAATCCAGATCTGTAAAGTAACTAAAGGTATTAAATACATGTAGTGGAGAAAAAGTACACCATTTACCTCTGAACTGTGGTGAAATAGAAGTAAAAAGTAGCAACAAATTGTACTTAAGTATTGTAGTTTAGTAAATATACTTAGTTACTTAACACCACTAGATTTTATACAAATGTAATAATAACAATGAATTTTTTTTCTAGTTAAGAGATTGAAAATATAGCATTTTTAACTTCATGTGCTATTTGACATCATAACTGATGACCTGTTAGCAGCAAGCTGCACCATCAGGACGGAGAATCTAAGCCGTAAACAGGTTTTGTTTTGGAAGACGGAGAACACAGAAGGACTGATCCACTGACAGACAGTGCTGATTCTTACTCTCTCCTTTCACACCTTCACTTACATTCCAGGTTTTGTGATGCCTACTTCATTTGGAACATCATAGGAATCGATAACGGTTTCCAGATCCAGCAGTATCTCTGTCAGAGCAGACAGAAACCGTTGGTAACAATCCCACAGCACTGACTAACAGCCAAATCTAGTGCATGAGATGATTGTGGTAACTTCACTTACGTTTAATTTTAGCAATGGTAGCTAATTCCAATTTTAAACCTGAAACAAAAAGATACCCCTCTGTAAGTACATGTACTGCAGGGATGGATTTGTTAACATTTGAAAGTGTGCATCCTCAGTGGGTGGGACAAATAAAACGGACCAGAGTTGAGGGACTCCACGTTGAAGTCACTGACAGTGTCTCCATGGCTGGCCTCTTTCGCCTGCTCCGCCAGCAGCCGGTCCACAGCAGTGATGGCGGAGGCCACATCATATGGAGTCAGGTCAAAGGATGTGGACTCTTCACACGTCTTCTCCTGCAACACAGACACAATGTGGTGACTCTCTGCCCCAGGGACTGACCTCCAGCAGGACCACGTTGTTCATCATCCTAGATCAAGTCTGCAACCCTCAGTAAAATAAAACCAAAATATATTTTATGTTTTAATATAAAGCATCAGATGGTTATGTTGTGTACTTCCACAGTGGTGTGCCATATACCAAAAGGGACTTTTTGATGTCTTTTATACATAAATATGTGTCCCGGGTGTGTAAGGAGACTCACAAAGTTTCAGAAAATACAACCCTCTCTTTTCCTCCTTACCCACATCTCTAAAAAAAACGGGGGTGCAAATGATCTGATCCAGGATTTGGACGTCATTGGTCAAATGTGGTACACGTGACACGTCCCAACCTATCGTCTCCATATACAGTCGTCTAGCTGAATCCCCTCTCGCAGCTGTGTGTCTGTGTATTCAGCAGGATGTCTGCAGGGGGCACTTAGAGTAAAGTTGTTATATATAATGGCACTGTTCTATCGGTAAACACTTAAGAAAGAACATGTCAAGCTATGTGCTGTATCAGGAACAATGCGCGGCGTGTTTTGGGAGTAATATGCTCTGTGTTTACATTAGCAAGCATGCTAACACTCAGAGCTAACGCTGTACTGGAGAGAATATGTGTAACGTAATGTCCTTGCGGTAAACCCTGCGAGAGAGAAACATTTGAGCTCCATCCTGTTTCAGAAATAATGCTTAAAGTGGTTTGGAACATAATATGGTATGTAATCACGGCAGCGTTTAGCTGAGTTTCTTCCGGTAGAAAACTCTCTTAGCAGGGGAAAGCTGCCTGACGCTACAAAGGGGCGTGGCTAGCAGCAGCTGTTCCATTTTAAAGCTACGGTCACAGAATCAGCCTTTTTTTAACAGGGCTGAAATAGAGGGGTATGAGGCATGGCTACAATGGGTGATCTGTTTGGTATTTTAAGCAAAAGACTTCAGAGATATGTTTTGTATAGGTATGGCCCTACAATATATTTTTCAAATATAGCATAATAGGTCCCCTTTAAATTAGAGGCTGGCTGGGAATGTGCAGCTGTGCTTGTGAGTTTAACAGTTTCTGAAAAAATTGAAGAGTCACAAGTATTTTGTAATTTTTCCAAACAAACAACTTGACACACAGTGATTGGTTATTATTATCAAGTAGAACAAGTAGACAAGGTAAACATTTTTACAACTCTCGTCTCTATCTGTATGCACAACAAGAGCGTCTGAGCCGTTATCTACATTGGTAGGTTACAGAGTTGACAGAGATGTTGGAGAAGGATCGGGTTCTAGTGTTTTAAATACAGGGCCAGACATGTCTCTGGAACAGGCGGGGGTGCTCTGACAGCAGGCTGCACACACACAGTGCATCCCTTCAGAACAACTGAATGTGGAGAAAGAGTCTCACCACATTGTGAGCTTCATCGAAGATGACCACCGCTCCGTTCAGCTCGATGTTGTGCGCTCTGCGGCTCTGTGGAACAAAGTGAGAGAACAAAACACCAGCATTTCAATGATTTCACTGAATACTATGACAAAGCAGTAAATGACAGGATGATTAAATAGATAGAAAAGAAGGTATATGGTATATTCTGCCCAACAACTGTTTTGTATGAAGCAGGTATATAAAGGGTACCCTTGCTAATGTATAGTACTAAAGGCTCAATGTGGGTTTCTGTTCCATTATGTCAGGCCCTGCTTCAGAATTGTATAATTACATGATTGACACAAAGTAATCTCTGTCCCTCCATCTACAGCCATCTGATGTGTGTTCTGTGAGCGCTCACCTTTGGATCCAGCAGGTAGTTGTACGGCGTGAAAACAATGTCTGCCTGCTGCTTCAGGGAACGGGACAGGTAGTAAGGACAGACCCTGCACAAACATATTCTACGTTCAACTGAAATGTAGACACTGCATGCAATACCTAGGACTTTGTCTACATTACAGGGGACATGATAACTCAGCAGAATCAGCAATATCACTGTTACTCAATCGCCCTTGAAAAAATGAAAAGTAGTTATATTATTTAAATTAAACACTGAGTGAATTCAAATATAACCAAGCAGGGAGAAATAATTCTGTGTTTCTGATTCAGATGTTATGATGGATGCTGTCATCCTCTCTCTTACTGCTGATGTGATTCACTGCATGACAGGAAGGAGACATGTTCTTCATTTAACTTCTCAAATTACCTTTTATATCGAGTCCTTTTATGTTAAGCTTATTGATAAGAACTACCTAAGACTGTTACCCCAAATCTACTTTTTGAACATGTATTTAAAGTAATGCTGTCAAAATTATCGCGTTAACGGCGGTAATTAATTTTTTTAATTAATTGCGTTAAAATATTTAACGCATTTAACGCATGTGCAGAATGGCCCGCCCCATACATCCCACCAGTGGCAGCGCCAGGGTATGGCTGGGGTAGGCTACACCCATACCAAGAAATGGCTTAGCCCCACCATGAAAAATGATGTTAAAGTAAGCAAAATAAAGTCTGACAACTCGCGGACCAGAAACGGTTTTGAAAACTTTTGTCACGTAGTGATCGTCTTCTCAATAGAACATCTTTGATAATGTCTTCTGGCCAATCAGAATCAAGATAACGGCGTGGTGTTGTTGCAGGAAGTCCCGACGGAGAATACTTTTGCTGTAGTACAGGTAACACATAACTGGTACGCAGGTTATTTGCGTAATCTGAAATGCGTACCGTCACTTGTGTCACAAAGCGCATTTGCGTACCGACGTACTTGTGAAGCTTTTCCAGAAGGCGGTTAGATCACCGGACGACAGAGTCGGTCTCCGTGTGCACAGACAGGGCTGCTGTTAACGTCGGTCTGTACAACGGAATTGTGCCTTCACTGGAGAACTGCGCTAAAACAGCTGATCACAATGTTCACACTCTGTGGTCACGAAGTACTCCACTAGCCGCCCCCCCCCCCGTCGACTTTCCTGAAGTACTCCCCCGTTGATAGAAATCAACACGTAATGAATTAAGACCCCACGGTTTGATGATTGATAGGTGTGTGGGTTGTCTTTCATTTTGACACGCAGACAATGTTATAATAAACATAGATACTGTATGTTAAATGGATATATCCGCCTTCTTTCATTTATCTTTCCATTCCCACAACAATATACATAAAGAAATGGCATATTTTGGACATAGTTCGAATGGTGATTAATCATGATTAATTAATTTTTAAGCTGATTAAAAATTAAAAATTAAAAATGTTAATCGTTTGACAGCCCTATTTTAAAGTGAATCATTTGGGCTTTTTATTCTGTGTTCTCTCCTCCATGGCCTCTCAAAACGTTCCACAGTGTGTGTAGCAGAGTTCCCTTTAGCCGGTAATTACCGGACTACGACCGGTAAAATATGCTGAAGACCGGTAAATCTAAATCTCTCCGGTCAAAGTTTCCGTTCAAAATAATTTCCATTTAGCGCAATACCACATCAGTTGCGCAACTTGCGCCATTTATGTGACAGACAAGAAGAGTATGTGACATACAAGAATAGTTGATTATAATGTCTAACACTTAATGTGGAGAAAGAGATGTCCTGTATGGGTTGATTGTGCGTTGATCTGTTGGTAATGCCTCGGGGTTCCGGTGGGCATGTAAACAAATGCATAATGCTGCGCTATACTTTGCGGCCTCACCCGGTTGCATAGCGACGCTTATTGTTTAGGTGTCTTTTAATAAGCAGGTAGTCCTATCATTAGCTAGAACTATCTGGATCTGATCGATATGGACATAAACGCGAGTGAAGTCTAATCTGACGGGAGAGAGAGATCAGCTGCTGCTGACGAGTCGACACGCAGCTCTGCATGATCACATGCAGCGGTGAGCGGACAAAACACACACTTCAGGTTAGAATATCACACGTAGCTATTTTAATGACCTCTCAAACTACCGTAACTAGTTATAGATATGTTTAGTTTTACTGTCGGGTCACTCATTACTGATCCGCGAGCTGCATGATACTGACGGGCTGTCAGGGAAGGGGGAGAGCGCTCCGTTTATTATTCCCGTGTTATTGTAAGTTACTGTACACTTTTGAATAATGTAGTTAATCTACTATAATTAGGCTAAATTGTTTAATATCGGATCATATCAATTTGTTTTAAAGCACAATAAATAACAAAGAAGACCTTTGACCGGCACTTTTCTCATTTTGTCCGGAAGATTTAAACTTTAACGGACATGTTGACCGGCGAAAAAATATTCTAACGGGAACTCTGGTGTGTAGAAGCAAACACTGGGCTGCAGCTGGAACCATAGATAGCATAAAACTGTGTTTACTTATTGTTGATGTCACCGCCTGGTTTCTTCAAACATGGACATGGGTTTATATGGCGCCTTTCTAGTCCACCAACAATGCTTTTTTACATTCCATGCTAAAATGTCCTCACCAAGACATTGATGTTAGAGCTGCCATACAAGGCAGCATCATCTATCTTATTCCCACACGATGGCTGTGCCTTCTGGAAGCAATGCACGGTTCAGTACGTTGTCCAAAGACACTGAAAGGCTGACTGGAAGAGGATTCAACTGCTGACCTTCCAATACATTGATGACCTGCTCTATCTCTCTGCAACCACAGCCAATACAAATAAAACGACATATATGAGACTGGCTTTCACATCACATCGCCTGAACCAGTGATATCATTTGCCTCAGAAAGGATTTTTAAAAAAGTGAATTTGTGAGTGAAAGTGTGCATAAGTTTCTAACAGAGGACTTTCAGCAGGACAGAGGGAGATAAAAGAACACGGAACGCATCAGGAATCAAAAAGCTGTAAGGCGTTAACAAAGCTAAACTGTTTTTACAAAGATTCTAAACTTTTTACAGAGATGAAAATAATTACAATACTTGATTTCCTAATTATTTAAGGTCTAATATATCGGATGACTAATTCATAATATTTCAAAATGATATGTTGCTGTCCTACAATCCAAGAACAACTAAAAACCATGTTGTTTGATTGGACTCCTTATAAAGCACAAGTGTATTAGCGAAACACACGAGCAGTGTGTGAGACACACCTCTGTTTGTTGCCGAATTTGACCAAGTCTTCCACGTCGAGGACTGAATTCACCAACTCTTTGTCAGTGCTCTTCTCTAAAAAGGCAAAAGAAAAGAAAAGGAGGCCTTTTATAAAAGGGGATACAAGTTGCCTTTTACAAAAAGGTGTTATGCCATTGCCATGATAAAGCCATCACTGCTTGCGAACAGCTGGAAAACAGCCAGATGTAACAATGCTTAAACTATATGGTCAACCTACTGGAAGCTTCCATCAGTCACAGACGCAGTTTACCTCTACCAAATGCACCAGTACACACTGAGTGAAAGAAATGTGAGACAGCGCTCACCAAGTGTGTTATGCTTCTACAGGTAGGACATCTCACTTGCTACTGGGGGTGGGGATATAACACCAATGAATGGATATGTTTAATACTGTTGATATCTTGACATGGAGCCAACATGAAATCTCTTCTGGCTCAGTAAGTGACCGCTGTCAGTCCCTCTGGTGAAGGCACGTTAGCATGCAGCTTTAAGACGTCTACAGAAGACTAATCAGTGTGGATTGGAAGACAGAATGCTTACGCGCCACTCAAATCTTGCTTTCAGTTGGGGTTCCTAGTAAGTGTAGTGCAGCCTGCAGGGTTCCGTTGTTGTGTCACTGCTCTCTACTAAGCTAGCTCTACCAAGTATGAATATTGAACATTACCTTCCACGTTATTGTAGTAGACACATGATCTTGTGGAAACTTTGGCTCTGCACGAATGGACCTGAAAAGCAAAGCAAAAAGTATAGTGAAATCTGTAGAAGTGCTTTGTGCCATATTAACCACCACTTTTTGTTAAGATATTAGCAACATGGACTCAAGGACTGCTGCATCAGCTCATTCATATAAACCTAGCAGTTCCTTTTTTAGGATGCTTCCTTCTGATTTGATTAGAGAAAGATATTGTCCTGTTGGTGCTTAGAATGAACACGAATGAGTTTGAAAATATCGACAAGGAGCCGGGAGAAGTTGGGGTTGTGCCTGCATCCTTCAGACACTTCAGCTGACTCAGCACTAACAGTACGCCCCTGACAATCTGATTGTTATCTAACAACAGGATGTAATGGTTTCCATACCTTAACATGGTTGCTCTGCTGTTTCATGACTTCAGGGTTGATACACAGCTGCTCTCTCGATCCCAGAACACACACCTTTGGCCTGAATCAGCAGAAACACACACATAATGGTGACATTGATCAATTCAAAACCTTTATTTATCCAGGTGAAATCCCATTGAGATCAATGACCTCTTTTTCAAGGGAGACCTGCAGAATGGAACACACTCAGCTCATCTGTGGTGTACATCAGAAAAATGCGTACTGTGAACATTCAGCTGTATGAGCAGTGACACTTTAGGTCACTGTCACATATTTCAAATGTGTTTAAAATAATAGTAAATCATCCAAAGAACTACAGTAGTGGTGTTAGGGTTCCTTTTAAACTGGCTCTCAGTGAATTCTAAAAGTATAAAGGAATATGACCCACACCTGAAACCTGGCTTTTCTCATATTGTTTTTCGTAAATATATGTACAAATACATTACAGGGTAATCATTTGTTAATAAGCCCAATTTTCCCAAAGTTGAAAACATTTCTAACAAATCTTATTTGATAAAAAAGCCCAATAACTTATTTAAATAACCAGCTTGAAAAATCCCCTTCATATTTCCCCTGATTATCAGCAATATGAGGCCCTGTTTAACCCTTTCTGTACCCATTGTGTCCGCTGACTTCTAACTTCACTTGAGAGGCATGCTATCATTCAGGAATGTTTCAAGTAATGACTCTCTGTAAAAAGTCTGGGGCAACAATATTAAGGCATCATGCTCCATTCAACGTTATTATCTTATCTTTAATATCAAAAACCTAATTTGCCCTCTAAATGTTGTTTCTGAAGTGAGCTGACCCCGACTAAAGAAGCATTCCACACATGTTGCATTAATCATGCATAAACATCTACTACCGTAGACAAATGGAATAGTTTACTTGTAGGAAGTATTCTTTAACTCCTTGATAACCTGCGCCAGCTGAGAGTGTGTCCTGGATGCGTAAATGATCTTGGGAACATCAGTGTAGTAGGCTGAGAAACAATAAAAACACAAATCCATTATATTCCAGAGTCATGTCAGCTGCTGTATCTCTACATCAGTAACATGGAAGGAGCTGCAGCAGGGAGAGGATTCAGCATTCACCATATCCCCCAAGCCGTTTGTATCATATAAGACTTCAATGATTAGAAGTAGTGCAGTGCCCGTTTGGAACATGCTAGAGTGGGCGGGTTTTAAAGTGAGTCTAGGGAGCAGTGTACGATAACTAACATCAAGTCCCATTACATTTGAACAACAGCTGAAGAAACTTGTATTTAGATTGACACCCCCTTTAAATTGGTCTTTTATTCCTTATTATTTATTTTAATAAGGTTAATAATAATTGACTTTATAGGTTTATTAACCACCTTAAATTGGCCTTTTAATCGTGAAAAAAAAAATGGTATTATTCTTTTATAGGTTTTAATATTTTATTGTATTTAATAATGATGTCTTATCTCTCCATTTACCGTGAGGGATCATTATTTGTTGTATTTTCCTTTTCTTATCACATGTTTTACGTCCTTGGGTCCCTTGAACTGTAATATTGTGTTTTTATGCTGCATGTGTGCAACAATGTTTTAACGTTTGACCTGAAGTGAATTTCTTGTTTTGTGTCTGTTTGTGATGTGAGCACTCTGAGCTGCACCTGCTGTGTGAAAAGTGCTATACAAATAAAGCTTTCTTATTTCATATCATTAAAGAAGAACACAGGCAGTGGAACACTTGCTGTGATGGTGCCATGATCTGAACGTACTTGGTGTGTCTCCGTCTGTGGCAGCCGTCCCCCAGGAGGACAGCGGGGTGTTGGAGAACATCTCCTCTCCTTTCAGCCTCTCTGTGACCTTGCGGGCAGAGATGGTGTCCTTGAAGCGCTCCCTCCAGGCCAGGGTGGCACAGAGCAGGCACAGAGTTTTACCGGTGCCTGTCGGACTCTCCAGAACCCCATTGGCCTTCTGAGAGAGAGAAACATGTTTTTATCTCTGATGTTACCTGAGTCTGAACAATGTTTCACAACCCAGAGGATTTGACTCCAGCAACATCATGTCAATCCACCAGGCAGCACATCTAAAACTTCGCATACGGCGTATGAATTATTGGATTGTTTTTAGGAGTAACACTATTTTAAGGGTTAAGACAGAGGTGGGAGAAGTACTTGAACTTGAGTAAAAGTAGAAGTACCAGAGTATAGGAATACTCTGTTACACTAAAAGTCCTGCATTCAAAATGTTCCTCAAGTGAAAGTAGAAAAGTATCACATCAAAATATAGTGAAAGTAGTGACAGTAAAAGTAGTCGTTGTGCAGATTGGTCCATTTCAGAATAATATATATGATATGTTTTATAATGATTGATCATGAAAGTGTTCTCAAAGCTGGTAAAGGTGCAGCTAGTTTGAATGACTTTGTATACTGCAGGGTAGCTTGTGGATTTACTCCAGGTGGAACTAAAGTCTGATTCAACACTTGATTAGATTTCACATCATTCATCCACATCTGTGAAGTAACTAAAGGTATTAAATACATGTAGTGGAGTAGAAGTACACCATGTACCTCTGAACTGTAGTGGAGTAGAAGTACACAGTATCAACAACTGTAAACACTAAAGTAAAGTACAAGTATCTCAAAATGGTACTTAAGTGCAGTACTTGAGTCGATGTTACTTTCCACCAGTGGCTAACGATCAGCCAGTGCAGATGAACAGGCAGCAGCATTAAAGACATTCGGACACACTAACCAGCAGGGCCGGACTGGGACAATAAGTCAGTCCGGGAATTATACACCCAGCCAGGCCACTACCAGTTTTCTTTTGTGCCATTTTCCTGGATTTATTTGTCAATATTTACAGCATTGCTGCCCATAGTGATAGCCCTAAACTTTAAATCTACTACCCCAGAATAAACATATGGGTTACTATTTAAAATAATGTGCAAATCTATTTAGGAACCTATGTGAACATATTTTAAGTGCAGGTGGACCTCAATCCTCTAGGGGGGTCCGGGGGCATGCTCCCCCGGTAAGATTTTTTTTTTTTTAAATGTTGGACTTAAAAGCATCAATCTGGTGCACTTTGAGGGGGAACTAAAGAGACTACACCCATATGAAACAGAACTGTATACATTTAAATAATCATAAAATCATAAAAACATGGCCATAACCAATAACATACCATATCCAATATGAAAAACACTGAAACTTGTTTATTTATTTGTTTTTGGTTCATTTATAGTTGTGAGTGTGTCTGTGCTCCTGAACCAGCCTCTCCTGTCTCCCCCCTCTCCCCCCTGCTCCTCTTTGAGGCAGCAGCAAAGACTAGTTTTAGCTCTCAACAAGTTTATCTTACCCTTTTTTCACCTAGTTAAAACATTTTTTATATTATTCATCCATGTTTTACTAATCACTCCCCCTTCAAATGGAAATATGTGTTTACATAAATGGTGACCACACCGTTTGAGACCCACTGAGATAACTTAGACTGAGTTAACTATCTAAACACTCAGAGAGTCCTTCACCTCACCTGAGCTGTAGTTATCAGTCTCTCAGTCTGACAGCAGAGGACTCTCCTCCACCTTGTTGACAGCTCATGATATGCGTTAGCGCAGCTAGCTAGCACCAGATGCTAACAACAACAATACACGTAACCGGTGCACGCGCTTTCTCTCTCGCTCTCGCGCCACACATACATACCCTCCCGAGCTTGAATGACACACAGAGACCAATCGAGGGCATTAGTATGATCTGTATGAAAGTGGCCACATCATGTAGACAGCCAGTCACCCTCTGTGAGGCAGAGTCAGACCCACATTTGCGCAGCGTTGCGTTCACAATACATACATAAAAAAAAGATTCCTCAGGCCAGCAGGCCACTTAGCAGGCCAGGCCATCGGGAAACCTCCCGGTCCTCCCGATGGCCAGTCCGGGCCTGCAAACCAGACAGAGGACCAGATGAAGCTCTCTCCATATTAAGAAAGAAGGACCTTTTGTAAACTGCAACATGACCAGTACATGAATGTATGGATGATTCCTGTCCAGCTGAGAAACATCTCCCATCACAGTTATTTCATTACCTCCTGAAGACACTCTATCACTTTGCTCATGTAGTCCTTCTGACAGTCATATGGAACAAATGGGAAGTTCACTGTCACTCCTTTCAGAGTAAGTGAAGTCATGGTCTCCTAGCAGCAGCAGAACCCGCAGTCACAAGTCTCAGTACTCCGGGTTAGCTTTCAAACACCTTTAAACTGTGTGAACAAAGTTACAGATAATTCGACCTGCTTTAACCGCAGTGAGGAGTAGTTGCTGCAGGAACAACTGTTTACTTCAATGAGCTGCTGTGCTCGAGCTTGGCGCCATATTTCCGCTTTCAGTCCAGCGCGCATGCGCACTGTAGCAATTTACCTCTGCTGCGTTCAAAGACTCACTGAAAACCCAACATTAACGATGTCACCCATGAACAATCTACAATACTGCTAACAGTTTCACCGAGGGAACTCTCTAAAGGGCGTAGATGATTTGAATTCGGATCTAGTCTTGGTTATAAATGCTTGGAAAACATTATAAGACGTGTCCAAGAATTTCGTGTCCAGGTGCAACTCTTTGTATCAATGTGCCCTGCTTTTTGTTGTGCTGGAGGTTAAAGGTCGCCATTATAATATTTACAGGTTGTTTTAGTGGCTAAATATTTATAGCTTAAATAATGCAATTCATTAAGCTATTGATCAGATGACTTTTAAAGAGAACGTAATCAAAATGTGTTTCCATTCAAATATTACTTGGAAATATAACGTATCCAAAGGCTACAGGCTACATTTGTGAAACATTGTGATGATGATGGTTACCTCAATACGGTACGGTCTGGAGGTATTTTGTATCATTTTCAAACTAGTCAATGTTGAACAATCAATTCAATCGTTTGTTAGTTATATTAAAGGCTGGATTTTAAACCTCAGAACGGCTTGTAGCACCGAGCCAACGGCAAACACTTTAGAAGATTAACCTTTCATTCATTAAAACATTTAAATGCTGTTTAAGAAGTAATTTTCACACATGATGATAACACAGTTCAACAGTTACAAACAGAATCATTTATTCTCTCAGTGAAATACATTAATCATGAAATACAGGAGGAGGATGTTTGATCCTACTGCTCTCCAGAGCTGGGGAGAACAATCTTTTCTGGGTCGAAGTAGTACTCGCTTAACAGAGGAACACCCTCCTGCTCTCTCTGCAGGACCACACGCTCCGCCTCCTTCCTGGCCCACTTCCGCAAGCTACACACACAAACACAAGAGAATACAACTTTAATAACTCTAAACATTCATAACAATAATCCCAGCTTGACTGCTGGGTAGTAGCTTTGGACTGAAGGCCACCAAAACATCTTAATAGCCTGAGTAATTAAGAAACAATGAGTGAGCTTTTATCACGTGTAACATTACCCATGGTCTGGTAAATAGTTGATAAATGCTCCTCCAATAACAAGAGCCACTGAGATGCTGAAGAAGAAGCCCACTCTCATGTTCCACTCATCCACCACGGGGTCCTGGGAGAAGCCATGGTAGTCTGGATTCTGACAATTACATAAGAGAGGCATCACACACAGTACACACATTCAGAATGCATCACTCAACACTGCCTGTAAATATAAATAACACTTTCTTAAATATACCCTTGTGCAATTCACGCTTCATTTGATCCTCAATGTATTTACAATAGGGTGTTGTTTTTTGACTGAGTGTGTATTATTATGAATAAAGTGTGCATACTTATAATATTGAGGTCTATTCTCCTCACTTTATCTGCTCTATACTTGTGCTGTTGTAGGAATGCAAATGTCCCCATTGTGGGAGAATAGAGGAATTCTGATTTGATAAGTATCACCCCCTTTATCTGAAGGACCTCAACATCTGACACTTTTTTTATATTTGACTTATCATCTCAACCAATATAATACGAGTTATGAAAGTGTGGTTTAAGCGTTCGTCAATATCCTCACAAAGTCACACTCTACATAGGAGCATTCCAAACCAGTACCATTTAGAGAAGGAGACAAGAACATCTGTGTGTGTGTGTGTGTCCACTTTCTGCAGACTTGTTGGAATGCAGACTTTAAGTGGGAATATTACACATAATCCATTGCAACATTATTGTGATAATGTAAAGTAAATTATTAATATTACAAGTAAAAACACCACATTGATTTATTAGACATCTTTCTTTCTACATTCCTGATGATTCAGTGTAAAGGTGTAGTGACGTTTAATATTCCGCACGGCGCGGCGCCCCCACAAATAGAATCAAATTCTGTGGGAAACACTGTACTTTTTCTTTTGGTATTTAAAGTAGTTTCTAATGCTAAGACTTTTAAACTTTTACTAAAGAAAGGAACATAACATTTTGAATGCAGGACTTTTACTTACAAAGTATCAGAATATTCTTACACCTCTGTTTAGACAAGATAATGTGCTACATTTATATAAAACCATTAGTATATGATAGCACTTTCAGTTTCTTATGCACTTCATCAATCTGAAAAAGACATCCGCAGTCTGTCAGAAACTAAAAGCAACATAGCTGAAGCCAGTGTAAAGTAACTGAGTACATTTACTCAAGTACTTTACTTTGTACTTCTACTCCACTACAATTCAGAGGTACATGGTGTACTTTTCCTCCACTACATGTATTTAATACCTTTAGTTACTTCACAGATGTGGATGAATGATGTGAAATATAATCAAGTGTTGAATCAGACTTTAGTTCCACCTGGAGTAAATCCACCAGCTACCCTGCAGTATACAAAGTACTTCAAACTAGCTCCACCTTTACCAGCTTTGAGAACACTTTCATGATCAATCATTATAAAACATATCATATATATTATTCTGAAATGGACCAATCTGCACAACGACTACTTTTACTGTCGCTACTTTCACTATATTTTGATGAGAATACTTTTCTACTTTTACTACAATAACATCTTGAGTGCACGACTAACACTTAATACAGAGTATTCCTACACTCTAGTACTTCTACTCAAGTACAAGATGCGAGTACTTGTTTCACCTCTGGCTGAAGCTGTCAGTGTCAGATCAACAGTGTGTGTAGCTCTGCTAGCTAATGTTGCTAGCTGCAGCTCGCTGTGGTTCTCCTACGGAGCAGTACCGTGTGTACTGGTGTGTTTCAGACTGACATCAGAACAGTAAGTGTCTGTGTCCGTGTGTCTGATGACCTGAGCCCGACTCGGTCACTGGGTCTCAGTGAGCTCCGGTACTGTCGGTACCACTGGGAGAACTCACCTTGACATACGGGCTGACCTCCCCGTGTCCGCTCTTCTTCTCCGGGGGGTGCAGCTCCGTCACTGAGGCCGCTCCGGCAGAACCACTGGGTTTCGACTGGGAGACGAACCGAGCCGGGGGATTACACAGTAACCGGGGCAAAGCGACCCCAAGCCGAGGCAGTCGGGTCAACATTTCAACGGTTTGTGAAGGATATCGTTGACCCGGAAATGGAAACAAAAGCTTTGACCCCGCTTCTTCTAAAGATCCTCCAGTTTGGCCGTTTACCACCACCTAGAGGGAGTCGACGGTGATGCACTGTGAGGGGTTTTGTTGGAACTAGGTGTGATACAAAGTTTTAACAAGACTGGAGACTTAAGTCAAAAAGCTGGGTCCTGACAAGATGTCCCTAGTAATACTTATTCTGCCCCCCCCCCCTTTATATCAGTCTTTGTATTTTTGTAATAGTTGTTGCATGGGCTAAAGTTCATGCTGGTAACCTGTCCTTTATGTGTACGTCTAGTCTTCCTCTCTTGGAAGTTAATAAATACAAAATCATTTGGAATTTCACCTTCTGTTTGGTTGCATCTCTAACCCACATCGCTCATTCTCGTGATCCTCCACAAAGAGCGCCCCTTGTCCTTGTTCTCCCACATTCATTATTTGTAAATCTTTGTTTCTTGAACCACTTAAATGGACATTACATGTATTGTATCTTTAGTAACTCTGACACACTAATTTCCTTTATGATAAATAACGTCTTATCTTATCTTCCTTAGCATGTCAGAATAGTATGAGCAATTCTTTGAAATGTTGAAACAGGTATTGAACATTCTCTGTCACAGGCTATGGTCTCCAGGTACTTCTTTCTTTAGGACCATTTGTTCTGAAATTCCAACAATATACCTTGGCTGTGTGTCCTCACACCTCCTCTGAAGGAATGTGGACCTTTGTGCCTCGTTTCAGGTTTGCCTTCTTTCATAAATACTGAACTCAACTGGAACGCTCCAGATCCCTCACTTATCCCGCCTGCTTTCCCCATCCACACAGCTGGCACTTTTTAACTCATGCTTTCCTATATCCAACGTATATGCTCGCTCTGTTTACATATGATTATTAGATTCCAATCTCTTTAAACCTTGGCCATTTGTATCTCACCTACTTGATTTATTTTGATATGGTATCAGATTCACTGATCTCAGAGAATGCTTTGATTTCTCTTTGTTGAAAGATTTAACTTCATCATCTTCAACGTTTTGCTAGTGAAATGTCAATGTAACCTCTAGCCGCTTCACATGCACTTATCACATGTGAATGATCCGACCACTGCTACAGTCATACAATAATAGCTCACATTTGTACCTGCAATTGATGAAGAAGATTGGGTGTAACATTGTATCATACTCCAAATCATACACTTTAGTCAACCTTTCATACTAACGCAGCATTTTACATTCAATTAAAAAACACAATCATCATTTAACTGATCAGTAGCATTCATTATTTATTTGTGTCCAATAAACACTCAGCCACATTGTTGTGTGTTGTATGATTACAAAGTTGACCTTATGCACATATGTCATTCAATAATATAAACAATTGTTTACAAATACACATACTGATAGCTCAGACACCAGCCAGTCCAGTTACTTCAGTTATTTGAAATATAATATTAAATACTGATAAAAAAAGGAAGTGAAACCAAATGTTGTATCCAGAATTATTACAAGGGCTTTTTAAAGACATGAGTTACTTTAGTTTCTGCTTAAAACAGAAGTAGTCGTCAAAGTCGTACCCTCTGGGAGGCGGAGCCATCACACTTCCTGTTCAGCCTTCTTCATCATAGACTGGGGAGAATATATACAATATAGGCACAGAGGGACCAGGAGCCCTGCCCTTTTGTTTTATACAGGGTAGATGTGTGCAGATCCTCTAAAAGGGTTAACCCACACAAAGCTCCTGGGCCTGATGGCATCCCTGGCCGTGTTCTCAGGGTGTGTGCAGTTCAGCAGGCAGAGGTGTTCACAGACACCTTCAACAGGTCCCTGCTGCAGTCTGCAGTCCCCACACTCCACCATCGTTCCTGTCCCCAAAAAGACAAAAATCACCAGCCTCAACGAATACCGCCAGTAGCACTCACCTCCATCATCATGAAGTGCTTTGAGCGGTTAGTCAAAACCTTCATCACCTCCTCTCTCCCTGACTCTCTGGACCCCCTGCAGTGTGCCTACAGAGCAAACAGGTCCACAGACGACGCCATAGCCCCCCCCCCCCTCCACACTGCCCTCTCACACCTGGACCAGAGAACAATGCTGTTCATTGATTACAGTTCAGCTTTCAACACCATTGTGCTCTCCAAGCTGGTCATCAAGCTCAGAGACCTCGGGCTCAACAGCGCCCTCTGTGATTGGATCCTGAACTTCCTGACGGGCAGACCCCAGGCAGTGCGGGTGGGAAACATCACATCCTCCACCCTGATCCTCAACACCGGAGCCCCTCAAGGCTACGTGCTCAGCCCTTTCCTCTACTCCCTGTTCACTCACGACTGCATGGCCACACACAGCTCCAACACCATCGTGAAGTTTGCTGACGACACGACCGTCATCGGCCAGATCACAGACGGCGACGAGACTGGACTCTTCATCACTGAGGACCTGACATGGACTCTTCATCACTGAGGACCTGACATGGACTCTTCATCACTGAGGACCTGACATGGACTCTTCATCACTGAGGACCTGACATGGACTCTTCATCACTGAGGACCTGACATGGACTCTTCATCACTGAGGACCTGACATGGACTCTTCATCACTGAGGACCTGACATGGACTCTTCATCACTGAGGACCTGACATGGACTCTTCATCACTGAGGACCCTGACATGGACTCTTCATCACTGAGGACCTGACATGGACTCTTCATCACTGAGGGACCTGACATGGACTCTCATCACTGAGGACCTGACATGGACTCTTCATCACTGAGGACCTGACATGGACTCTTCATCACTGAGGACCTGACATGGACTCTTCATCACTGAGGACCTGACATGGACTCTTCATCACTGAGGACCTGACATGGACTCTTCATCACTGAGGTGAGGACCTGACATGGACTCTTCATCACTGAGGACCTGACATGGACTCTTCATCACTGAGGACCTGACATGGACTCATCACTGAGGACCTGACATGGACTCATCACTGAGGACCTGACATGGACTCATCACTGAGGACCTGACATGGACTCATCACTGAGGACCTGACATGGACACATCACTGAGGACCTGACATGGACTCTTCATCACTGAGGACCTGACATGGACTCTTCATCACTGAGGACCTGACATGGACTCTTCATCACTGAGGACTTGTATGATTTAGATTTAGAATGAGAAATATTTGTATTCATTAGGAATAATAAAAGAGGCAGAAAGCTTCCAGAGTCAATGGGACATTAAGAATCATGTAGTTTAGTATGGCATTTGGTTACATGCTGTGATATATCCTTATCTGTCTTCCAGTCGCACTCTTCAAATCTATCAGGCGTTAGTCAGAGCCCCACAGCCAGATCCAGTCAATATACATCTGGGTTACTGATACAGCTTTTTGTTAAACCCCGACTGCAAGCTGCTACTTTACATCACAGTTGATTTAGGAAAAATGTCAAATAAAGAGGAGGATTGATAATAACTCATTTTTTGGGACATAATGAGATAATAAGAGCTATTTAAATGTTTCAATTTGAAAGTGGATGTACCTAAAAAAGGAACGATATGCGGCTTTACAGATGCTCTTTCTCAATGTAAGTCAATGATAAAAAAAAAAATTTTGGCCAAATGGCATCACGTGATTGACACTAAAGTTGTAATTCAAGCATTTGTGTATATTTGCTCATTGACTGACTAAATAATGAATTTAGAATACTCAGAATTTGCCAAGCCACTACAGATGACTGATTGTACAAACCCAGTAGTAGAGGTGAAATACTACCCCTGCTGCTTTAAAGCCGGGGGCTTGGAACTACACTTTTCACCTTTAATGAAGCAGAAAGTATCATTTAGACAATATCCGATTCATGGCAAAAAGATCACAAGTTAAAGAGGACACAATTAGGGCTGCACGATTTTGGGCAAAAAAAATCGAATTGCGATTTTTCTGACAAATATTGCGATTGCGACTCGATTTGCGCTATACGTTTTTAAGCGACCCAACAGAAGTTTATTGTAAAATGCGGCCATATCTCTGGCTAGGAAGGTCACATGCTCCCGTCTCAAGCACCCCCGCAGCCAGAGCTACGAGTGAAAGAACTAAACCTACATGAAACTTCCGTTGGGTGGCTTTAAAGTCAAGCTTCAGTTTAAGATTCACCCTGTAATAGAATGTAGCATCACTAACCTGACTCAGGTGGTTTGTTTCACCAAACCATCTAGGAAAGGTCCATTGGAAGCCATTTGGAAAGGGTAGGCACTTTCAAAAATACTTGGCAGGTGATTGGATCAATCACCTGCTATCATGGGCCATTTCTGATTGGTTAACAATGGCTGGTACATGTGGAGCACAGCACTTCTGATTGGTGTGGATGACTGACACACAAGAACAAAAAATAAATAAATGTTAAAAAAAAAAATCGCAGGCTTTGCGATTTGATAATCGCATCATTTCAAATCGCGATTTCCATTTAAAATCGATTAATCGTTCAGCCCTAGACACAATCATTTATTTTTCGATCATATACACTACAGCATTTAACATAAATGGTATGGGAATCTATACGTGGTGTAATAAATGGGGAAAGCAACATTATTCTGGTGTGACTAATTTCTCTGGTTCTCCTTCTATTCCATCAAGACCAGATGCAACAGCACTTTGGAGTGAAGGCAAAATCCAACCCACAACACTACATATCTGAAAGATGTGATGTAGTACTGCACTTTGATTACATTGGCTGAAATGTGAGACATATTTGATCAAGAATGTTAAAAATAGAAGCAGCAGAGACTTTAAGTCAGTATTTAAGTCAAGTTCCAATAATACACTGAATCCACCATTTCCCATATTGCATTTCAGCATCATCACATCTCTCCATGCCTGGCCTTTCACACTTAGCACCAGCAGGTTGTGATGAGGCCTTTCTCTTATAAACCTGTGGTCTCCATCCTGTCTGTGCCAACATGAGATGGAGCTAGCAACAGACCCTGATCCTGTCTGTTAGAGGGAGCCTCTCACCTGAACCTGGAACTCAGCAGGGTCTCCAGCCCT